GTGGGCTCGGCCCTGCTGAGCCGAATTGCCCGCCGGCCCATCGGACCTTCAGCAGCGTATATCAGCCCGGTTGATTTTGTAAGACTCCCTGATTCGGAGAGAGCAGGCAAAGGTGAGTTGAGAGCGGATAGATCTAGGATCAGAGTGTTTTTTGGTAATGATGAGTGAATAGCAACTACGGCGAAGAAGTTGGAGTGATAGTAGCCATGGCGCAGTGGCAGTGCCATCCCTCTTCAGGCCAGCGGCGAGAGTGCGCTCCCCGTGGCCGATTTGGGTTTGATCACACGTGGTTTTCTTAGAATACAATCGTTGAACCGTTTTTTGCCCTAAGCCAAGCCAAGCCCTTTGTTACTGGTTCAGGTTACCGCTTTGTTTTGACTACCACTTGCGAACACCGATCTGTCACCTATCACCGCACTTATTTTTAAAACGTGTCGTAGACGTTGTGTCTCCACTTCATTTCTGGAACGCTTTTATTTTCAACGTCGAAACACACATTGCAAGTGAAATTGTCTTGGAACATAGATACGTGAGAAAACTTAATATCGAGCACGAGATGGCGCTCACCGGCCGAGCCCAGTATAGGGAGTGTCGACTCGGCCGTTGAGCCGAGCCCTTCCATTGCAACTAGTCAAGAACAGTACCGTAACTGTTACTGTTCGTACTAGTGAACAGTGAGTGAGAAAGGACGAGTGCAAGAGATTGCCTCAGTGAAAACAGAATAGCAGTGAACCGGTTCTCTTTATCTCCCTACCAATGATTATGACGGAGCACACGAGCAGTGCGGTGTACGGTGCTGTAACTTGTACAATAATCGGTGGGCACTGGCTCAGTCGGCTTCAGCGCAAGCGTGATGGTGCCAGTTGTCCATTGCACAAGTCACTTGAGCTAAGCTTATAGCGAAGATAACGTGGGATAGTGTAAATTCCACTGACACTCCACTGATCCGCTGATACTAAGGGGTTCTGTAATGTGATCTCGAGATCATAGAGCTGCGCTGCGCGCGAAGTGGGTGATGTGACCTAGTTTCGACGGACGCGCGAAACGAACGTCCCCCTCCACATCCTAAGCGGAGGCAGGCTTTCGATTGAACTCTCCGTCCAGTTATTTCAAACTTCAAACTCCTTCATCGAATAGATGCCCTCTACTCCCAAGTCAATCTCTACGGTACCTGCTCTAGCAGACGCTCTTAAAAATGGCTCAAACACGAAAACTCGACCGTTCTTCAACGAAAAATCCTTCAAAGAACCTGTGAGAAAACTTGTGGGAGACAAAATTACACAAAAATATGAGCTTTGAAACGAAATTATTTATTTAGGTATCAGATTCAAAACAGAATCATGATAATAATCTCAATCTGGGGTTTAATGCAAATAGAACCGTCGAGAACACAACATACCGGTGACGGAAAACACTAATGTCACTATGAGAACTGTATTTGAAGACTATGGTATCATATTGATTCACTATATAAAATATACATCTATACACCGTAAAATGTTGGCGCCTATTCGTTTGAGGAAACAGAAAAAAACAACGATTGCCACACCTGCTAAGGGCGAGGATAAATTTAGAAAGAACATCGAATATGCCTAGGGAGTAATGTGTTAACGTGAAGGGACGAAATTCGGTCTCTCGTTCAGTCTGCTGATGGCATAACCTGGAATAAATTATAAATCTTTTGGCTGACTAAAAATTATTTTAGCTTCTTTTTATTGAAGAGAAAACTTTAGGGGAATGTAGCTGCTTCCATAGTCCGGCGTCCGGCCGGTGAGCGCGCGAGCGCCCGCGGTGGTCCACTCGGCCTGCGGAATCGATCGAAATTCGGTTTTAAGCAAGTGGCAAGCGTCGCGCGCGTCCCGGTCGGTGAACTATGAAGGCAGCCACTGGGACTACTTTGGTGCAGTAGTTCGCGGGGTTACGATAGAACCAATTTTGCAGAACTTTTTCACAGGTACGCTAGAAGATGGGCTCCCATTTTGAAAAAACGACCATTCTGTGGCACTGTGAAAAGCCAAGTCTCCCAACTAAGACACCCAAAGCCAAAAGAAAAAGTAGCTGCAACTAATAAAAGCTCGACCTTACCTTCAATCTTTCAAATGCTGCCTTCTCCAGCGCTTCACGTTGTGATGGATGAGCAATCTTGATGAGTTCGTAAGCTCTTTGTCGCATATTCTTTCCCCATAGTTGAGCAATACCGTTCTCCGTAACAACATAGTGTACATGAGATCGGGTTGTAACAACACCGGCACCCTAGATTGTCAAACATTTAGTCGAAATTCAAATAGAGAAGTCACCACCTCTGAGTTTATACTTACCTCATTTATATAAGGCACAATCTTGCTTTGGCCCTTCTTCGACATCGATGGAAGAGCGATGATAGGTTTGCCTTCACCGTCATCACCAATGCTAGCTCCACGGATAAAGTCCACTTGACCACCGAAGCCAGAAAGGAACCGCTTGCCAACCGAATCGGCGACAACTGAAACGCTTTCAGAATTCTTTTGAAGGCATACCTCAAAAAACCTATAGCTACACAGAGGTCTGCTGCAATTGGAGGTCTTCTTGAAAAATCAGATCTATGTGCAAGTTTGTGGGTAAATTGCCTGCCCATAATCTCGTAGTAAATCACACTTTTTTGGGATATCCTGGAAATTACCTTGGGAGTTCTATAAACGGACACCATTCACTTGTACGTACTATATGAAGCGCTGGAATGAGTTGTAACAGAACCGCTTAAAAGGGGTTCCAAGGAAAATGTTTCACACAAAATTCGAGGGTTTCTGCAGCAGTCGCCGGAATCGAACTCGTGAGTCGCATCTGTTGAACAAGGGTACACATTTCTATCATTACATGGTTGTAAGCAAGGGTTGTAGGACACCGCTAATGGTGTCCTGACATAGAGCCCCATGTTTCTTTCAGAGAATCTTGGAGAAGACGGCACCATCGGGAAATTTCCGGCAGATGCTTTCCGCACAACCTTATACATTCGTATATGGGCCCGAAAGATCTCATGGATGTCACCTTTGTGTTAACATAAAGATCTATAACTTAAAAGCTCACCTTGCCCAGTGAGATCAATCTCGACGGCTGAATTTATAGCAACGACTCTAGGGTTTTGTCGGATGACAGCAGGGTCATTGACCCATTGGACATCACCGAATTCGATCAGTGGGTTGTCGTCCAAGTAGTCGTACAGCTTTTTGGAACCGTAGACGAATGATACCACCAGTCTACCGGGGTGTACTACCTGAAAAAAAAACACGTTCATTTTGACGTCAGTTCTCAAAATTCCCATGAAGACAAGGACCGATACATCAGCCTGTAGAGCAGAAGTAAAACTACTGGTAAGAAATATGAATGTGGAGTGGGAATTGAGTTACCTTTTTCTTATTAGTGATGGCATTGCACGCGATAAGATCCAAGACACCATCCGAGAACATTTCTGTATGAATACCGAGATCTTTGTGATTTTTCAGAGCAGCCAAGGCGGCATCTGGTACAGCTCCGATACCTGAAACAATGACCCGTTGCTTCTTGCAACTCGCCACAAATTCATTGCTCGAAAATCATGAGAAATCGCTCTCAATCAGCACTACTGATCCCGAAAATCTCCATCAAAAATGGGATTTTATCGCGCGAATTCGCTTTTAGAATTCATACTAACAGAGAAACGATCAAGATCGATTAGCCTGAAGAGGCCGCTGGTACATGACATTTGTTGCGCAGATATACTAGGTTCCCGATGAGGTCATGAGGCATTTTTACAACGAATGATGATGACTTTTTTGTTATAATGCACCGATCTGATTGGATTTACTGCTCCGTCAATCGGTTGCTACACCTTTGGCTTTGGAATAAATCGATTCGACCCTCAAAAAAAAGTCCCTGAGCTCTTACAGTGCGTGCCCTTTCCACCAAATTTATCAGTAGTATCGATTTCTATCAAAAATATTTTTCAGAATCCAGAACACCACCACTACTGAGGTGGTCTAGCAAGACGAAGAGGAAAAATTCTACACCGGGCAGTGCTCATAAAGGGCTCAGCTCTGCTCACTGCTTATGCCTTCGAACAGAAAAGGGAGACCCATAGTTCTGTCACTTGCAGTGTGGCATGCCAAGGACAGAATGCTGCATAAGGTACTACTGGATTCCTGTAGCCCAACAAAGAACCGTTCAATGTGGAAACACACCAGCCGAAGAAGCTACCAGCCGCCCATGCTGATGGCCCGATGTGGCCCGAGGAGGGCTTTTGATGAATACAGTACGGCACATTATAAACTCTCTGAAGGAGTGCGTCTCTAACTATTCCAAAATGGAACATGTCACAAACGAAGCCAAGTCATACATTTACACCATCCTCATTAACAGACCAATAAAAACCTGTGTCTTTACTGCTTTCAGGAAAGAAGGTGTACCACCATCGTGATCAAACGCTCTTTGATGGAAATGCAGTATCGCACTCACCCATTTGCAGAGTTGAACCGTTCTCAACCAAGTTCTCGGCGATAATTTTTCCGATCTTCTGCTCTTCCTCACTGTCCTTTCCAAGATGTCGCTCGTGAAGTGGGAAATCAGAATGCTCTTCGACCATGACATCAAAGTGGGATGAGTGGATCACGCTGTCACCAAACGTTCTCGGCATGTTCTTACTTACCATGGCTGAAAGAAAAAAGTTCACGAATGTTTCGACTTTCTATAGAATTCGGCAAGTCCTTGTCAGTACAATAATAGTTAGTAGTATGTCTGATGGCCTATTTGGATTTTTCTTTGTTATCGTCCTCTTGATAGTCCGAAAAGTCGAAAACCAAGCCACTTTGGAAATTACCAGATCAAAACGTAGCTAAATCCACAAAAATTCCGACGGCTAGCTGAATTACACCCAAAATCTGTACAGTAAGCATTAGACTGAACTCCGGAGCGCATGCTTCCGAACGAAAGCGTGATTTCATTCAGGGATATTTACATTTTCAAGCAACAGCCAGCTGCACGAGAAAATAAAGGAGGGGATCACTACCAATTAACTTTGAGCATTCACTGACCAATAATATGATCAGCATTTGTAACCGCTGCTCTTGCCGTATCTACCGATGTGCCCAATGAGCAGTAGCCGTTAGCATCGGGAGCAGAAACCTGAAAAAGGAACATTCACAGACTTTCTGAGTCATTATACAAATATGAACTGAATGGATTGACGCCGAAAAGTGTAACGATCTCTCGATGGAATATTCTTTGCAAAAGTTCAACTCACGTGGATTAACGCGGCGTTAAGCTTGATAGCTCCTCTACGGAATAGCAATGGAACCTCATGCAAAAAGCACGAGTTGAAATCAGCAATACCTGAAAAGAAGTGCACTCACAAAGCTTGTCTGATATTGGACGAAAGGTAAGTTTGGTCAAATGGCCAGTTGAAATACATCGATTGCCAAAAAAACTTATCCGCTTTAACATCTAAAAATGCGCTCAAGCCGAAGTCAAGGAGCCACAAAAAAGGCCGGCCTCTCAGAGTAAGGATATAAGTGCAAATCGACAAGCAAATTCAGCCTTACGACAAAAAATCTCTGAGAATCAGGCAGACATCGTACTGTTGGAAATTAACGCACCATTCTGATGACTCCCTGCCCCATCTCCCACCCTATTTAACCCTTCCTTCCGTAACTACATAAGAGTACGATTAGAAAAAGGTTATCGCACGGATTCAGTTATGTTGCAGCCATTGCCGGTACACCAAACTGGGTTCGATATTCAATGAAATGTTGGAAACTTGAGCAATTAGGAACATTCGTCAACCTTGCTTCCGTTGAATTCATATTTTTGCCCAGGCGAAACTTCTGAGAGCGTTTACTACTACCACTTCGTAGGGCAATTAAATTCCAAAACGTTGGGACTGTAGTATTCTCACAATTGAGAGAAATTGAAGGAGCTCACCTTCATTTACTGCCTTTCGAAGATTACCGCCAGTGAAAAGAGAGTTGGAGCGGATTCGATCTAAAGGGATGCATTAATGGATACGTTGCCTAGAAATAAAAGAGAGTAGCACCTTTCACATCCGGAGCTGTCCACGGTGTCTCTCCTTCAAGATGCAAGTGATGCAGCTTGATGCCTTTCAGATTGTTCGCTTTCGCATGCTCACAGAGACCCTGTAGCAGAGGAGTTGGCGTGGCAGCGATTCCATGCACGAAGATGTTGTCACCTGAAAAGTTGAACTAAAATTCTGCGTTCCCCCACATTTCGCTTCATTCCGTGTCTACTTTATTAGCTCTTCGAGAAAGTTCAATATCACGCTGTTTTCATGACTTCGACATGTGTAAAAGAGCATAGGACCCTGTGCTTCTCACCAACCATGTCTTGAGGGCTGGAGGTTTGCCCCCTACAAATTCCTTTTCGGGTTGCAGTCACGGTAACATTTAATTTCAATATAGTGGAGGCACTTATAAGGGCTTATATGGCCGAAAAAATTACTTGCGGTTATGCTGAGAACAGCCTTCCCCATAAGCCGGTACAAACACGACCCTGTAGTAATGAATGGTATGCTTGACATGAGCAGGTCCTTATTCGAGCTTTGACTTCGGGACCATACTGTTGTAATGGTGACAACAGTCGCCATCCCACGTATGATCTC